CAGTCCCCTTCTATTGAGGGATCCCTCAAATAATTTTATTTAAGGGACGCCCTTTAGGATACCCTACAATTTTTTCCCCAATGATCTAAACAATCTATTTTTTAGGTCTTCATTCATAGATCATCCTTACAAAAAATTAGACAAATCTGAAACCGTTTCGACATCCAATTGTGTCTTACAAAATCAATGAACATGGTGCTTCAAGGAAGTATTAAAATTTCAATAACTCAATTGAGTGGTTAAATGATATCGGATTCAAGTGATTTTTTTGTAGAGATGATCTTTGAATGAGTATCTACAAAATAGACGGTTTGGATTAGTGAAATACAATCCGGAGTGGGGCCTACAAGGGGTGTCCCTCAAATAAGCTTATTTGAGGGATCCCTCAATGGAAGCTCTCTGTATATGTATATGATCAATGGTCCACATTCAAAGAGGACGTTTCCCATTATATATGAAATTAGTTAAGACAGTACCATTGAAAGCCAAGAGGACCCAAAATTTTAGAATCTTACCAAATATTCAAGCAAGCATGAAAAACATAATTGGATGAAATTCTAAAAGAGTTTATGTTGGGCTCTATTTTTTTTAGTTTTTCTGAATTATGATTTGAGTAAGTCTAAATGTGACTGCAACTCTACAATTAAGTCATTACATTTTTTCCCTGTTCTTTTACTTTGTTGTAAGTATGATGTCCTTAAGTATTTGAAGGACCTAATATGTTTTTGCTCTCTTTGAAGGACCTAATAAGATAGCGTATTTTGCAGACTTCTGCCCTAGATGGAGAAACTGATCTGAAGACCAGGGTTATACCCCCAGCTTGCATGGGGATAGATCTTGAATTGTTGCACAAAATTAAGGCAAGATTTTCACATACCTAATTAATAATCAAAAGTAGAAGATTTCTTGTTCTGTTGGTATATTTAATCATATATTATCATATTTTTTATTATTTACTTGTCAATACTATTTCCATGCAGGGTTTAATTGAGTGTCCTAATCCTGATAAGGACATCAGAAGATTTGATGCAAATCTGCGGTTGTTTCCCCCATTTATTGATAATGACCTGTGCCCATTAACCATAAAAAACACGCTACTTCAGTCATGTTACTTGCGGAATACAGAGTGGGCCTGTGGAGTAGCAGTCTACACTGGCAAGTACTTATAAACAAAATGTCAAGTTAGCTAATCATATGCTAGTTTGTTTTATTTGTCCTTCTATCTGGACTTTTTTTTTCTTTCTAATTCTTGGTGTAAAATTTAATAAGAATTGAAGTTGTTGAACATATTTAGTATTGACAAACATTTTCTTTCTTGACATTGAGTACTTAATTTCTTGGTACATTTTTCAGCCAATTTCCCCCCTGAACTTTACAGAACTGGTCAATCTACCCTCCACCATCAGAATCCTGGCAATTCTTTCCAAGATGCCATCAAATAAAGTTACATGTTATCACTTTTGAAAGCCTTTTAGTCATTTCATGTCATATTCTTTACAAATAGTGGCCCTAAATGTCATTAAAATGAGGAAGTGATGAGTACCTGACTTTCCAAAATGACATATGACGCGAAATAACCAAGAGGCCATCAAAAGTGAGTCACGTGTGACTGCATCTTGGATGGATTTTCTAGGAATATGATGGTAGGGGGTATATTGACCAGTTTTGTATAGTTCAAGGGGGAAATTGACTGAAAAGAAAAAAAGAAAAGTTAGGGTGGGGGGAAATTGACCTCTTAAAGGTGATAAACAGGTTTTTGGTTATGAGTTTGTCCTACTTTTTGTTGGTTGACACTGTAAAATAAAGAAAGGGATTTGGGTTGCATGTTGATCCTGTTGGATGCAGTGAAGGAATGCATAGATTTCTTAGCTATTTCACGATTTAAGTTTAGCCTACCCCTTCAATTGTAGATTTGGTACTACCTGGTGCCAGCATGATAAATATGATTTCTTTTTTTTTCTTTTCAATTTTCATCCATTTCCTGCTGCGCTTTGCTTGCTTGATAAGGAAAGGAAAGTGGTGGGGGAAATTAACTTTCCTATATGTTTCCTGTCTTGCTTAGCAGGAAGGATGTGAGCTATATGCAACACAATTTTACCACAGGATCTAGCTTTCCCACAAATCTTATCGTGAAAATTTGATGGGTTTTTTGAGAAAATAGAAGAAATGTTATGAGTATCATTTTTGTAACTAACTTTTCTTGCCAAACAACCGTAATTTTATAAGAGTTTTTATCTTGCGAACCAAATCCAACGAAAGTACTCCTTTTATGTTGTTGTGCTTGTGATGATCTCATCAGTTAAAGTAGTTGTTGATTAACATCTCTTCTTTAATTCTGTTCTATCTTTTAGGCAATGAAACCAAGCTGGGTATGAGTGGGGGCATACCTGAGCCAAAGCTTACAGCTGTTGATGCCATGATTGACAAGTTGACTGGAGCTATATTTGTTTTCCAAATAGTGGTGGTGATGGTTCTGGGCGTTGCTGGTAATGTATGGAAAGATACAGAAGCAAGGAAGGTATGTCACAACTTGAAAGATTGCAATTCTCTTCGAGTGTTTGAATATAAAAACTAGTTTTGTATGCAACAGTTGAGTTTACATGTTTTAGAGGTGCAGACTATATATTGATCAAAGATGACAGTGAACTAAATGACCACATATGACACACTGAGTATAGGAGTTTCAGTTCACCTTCTATCATACTAATAAAGGCTTTCATGAATCATGATAGGAAGCGCTTTATGGCCACTGCTTGTCTATCATTAACTAGTTTCAATACATCACCAGCGACTTAAACTACAGGGATTATGGAAGTTGAGGGGGATTGGGAATTGTTCTTTCTTTTTGGTTTAATTGAAACTGGTTTTGATGCTCTTGGAAGTTGTCAGGTTATGGATGTTGTATTCAGTGGGCAGCTTGTCTGCAGTTTGCTGTACTTCTGTTTGTAGATTACAAATAAATATTCGTGTTTCTCATAACAAAACTATTGAGTCTATTTTAATAAGATAATTTTCTTCAAAGTTGTGGAATGGTCAGAATTGAGCCATTCGTGAATTATAATCATACTGCCAATTAAACAGTGAACTTACTAATTGTGTGTGTGCATTGGTTTCCTAAGATGATTTCAAGCTTTTTCCACAGTTACGGGCCAGTTTTGTTCCCTACAAAGTTTTCACTTGAATAGCTGAAGTAATATGGTCTATCCTGTTAGTTAAGAATTGATTTGACAGACAAAATTATGTTTTGAGTGATTTTGATTAATTTATTCTGGGCGTGTATCTGCAGTGGTATTATTGTGAGGATTGTCATCTTCAATTTTTAAAGCATTATCTTGTCTACTTGATTTTTTTAGCCGAGAGTGACTCAACTCTGATTTGATTGTTTTTTACATGCCCTATCTGAAAGCACATTGTTCTTCTCAAATTTTCATATACATGTACAGTAATTGGTTTCTAAAACGTCTTTTACCTTTCTCATCTATTGAATCTTATCATCAATCATATACCCAATTTTCATTTTTTGTTCTTTTTGTAGCAATGGTATGTTTTATACCCAGAGGAAGGTCCGTGGTACGAACTATTAGTAATCCCTCTTCGATTTGAACTACTATGTTCCATCATGATACCCATATCTATTAAGGTAAGCTTGTGAATTTTATGCTGATAGTTTTGGTTGTCTGCACTGTTGTCCCGTGGTTTAGTATGTTGCCATTTTTTTGACATGCAGCCAAGGCCTGTTTTGGAAGAACATGTTTTTTTAAGAGCTTAAGACTTTCTCTTATAAAAAAAGATCTTAGGACTTTCATCTTTTATTTTCTTTTGTTTTTGGTTTTTAACTATTAGTTCCCTGAGATATTTTTTGCTTGTAAAAATCAGAATATTGGTAAAATGGTTATTCTCTGTTTTGTATTTTAAATCCGTAACTCGTGGGCAGTGCAGTAAGGGACAATATATCTAGGGGTTAACTATGTACCTCTACCCAACAAAATAAATAAAGTTTGAAAAGAGAAATTTAAAAATTCAAAGGGTAAACTTTATACCTCTACCCAACAGCATGGACAACAAACCAAATTGCTACCTACCACAACCAAAATAATGATGATGATGAACAACAAGAAGAGGAAGTACAGTTACAAAGACCCCATATTTTCCTCATTTTGGATGGCAGATGTTTCTGATATGTGTCAATGCCGTAAAATTGTGTTTCCATAGATTGAAAGGACATACTCGCTTTCATATTACCAAGTTCCCAAGAATATATGTGTCCCAGGGATTGGAATTAGTTGATAGGATAGTGAAAGAATGGTCTTTTCTCTCAAATATTGAAAGAATGGTCTTTTCTCTCATGTATGGACATAAAACTCTTACAAATCGTAGATAGTGTCCCAAAAAAATTTCAAACATAATATTAGGGAAGTAGAACTGTTTTGAGAAGAGTTTTGTCAACTGCACCCGTTTATGCATATAATGAGGGAGCCAAACAATCCTTAAAGGATGTACTTTCTCGGCAGGAAATCTAGGTGGTATTGTTAACATTTGATGAAATTTTTGGTTTGGTTTTACCAAATCGGTTTGAATTACAATTTGCCTGGACATTCCTGTTCCTATATAATTTGCGATTTCCAACTCCCACAGTTGACATAGGAAATGTCAATAAACATCTTTCATTCCCATACAAGAATGGGTTATGTGACACCCAAAATCAACTTCTTATCAAACAAATAGTTATAAGAAAGTAAACTTTGGAAAATAAATTCCAATATACTAGTAAATAATGTTCAAAAGATTTTTTCATCTTTTTAAATATATAGAGAACAACTTATTTTAAAAGTAAGAGTTTGTTTTGATCTAATGAAATTTAACTTTTTTTTTATATTTTTTATAATACTTTATTTGTAGTTGGAGATAAGTTCAAATTAAAAAGCATAGGAACTGAAATTTATCAACTCTAAAGAACTGTAGCTGTTATGAGTCTGAGTTCTACATAACAAGTTATTAATTGCTGCAAGAACAAAGTTTTTTAAATTTCAGCGTAAGTTTGAATAACAGGCTGTCTGGGGAAGCCTGTTATGTCTTTCTTAGTCTGGATGTATTAACTATTAAGGTGATATTTATTCTTAATAGTTAATGCTTCTAAATCTGTGTTCTTTATAGTAACTACAGATTATTAATGAGTTTTTGCAGGTCAATTTTGTGGACTGCACTCCTTGCTTTTTAAAATAATGAAATGTTTTTTCCTCATAGGTATCTCTCGACCTTGTGAAGAGCTTGTATGCGAAGTTTATTGATTGGGATAATGAAATGATTGACCAAGAAACGAGTACTCCAGCCCATGCAACAAAGTAAGTTGAAGTGGTATTAAAAGAGCAAAGCCACTCATTTTTAGTTCATTAAATAATCAAGTAAGATTGTGATTGTATATAAGAGGTGTATGTTTCATGTGGCAGTACAGCAATAAGTGAAGACCTGGGACAAGTAGAGTACATTTTGACTGACAAAACGGGTACCTTAACCGAAAACAGAATGATATTTAGAAGATGTTGTATCAATGGGATTTTCTATGGGAATGAAAATGGGAATGCCTTAAAAGGTTTGGTTCTTTCTATTTTTGGAACTTTTCCTTGCTTTTCTGTTTATTGTCATGTGTTGTATTTGAACCTCTAGATTTGTTGTAAAGATATTATGTAACATGAGATGGCAAAAATATAACTAAATCATTCTTATCCCGATATATGAGATAGCTAATAGATTATACGAATGACTTTCAAATATGGGCCACTTGGATATGCCTTTACTGATGAGTTGGCTAAATGGGTTTCTCCCTTAAAGAGTTGACTTCTGGTAGTTCGGAAATATTCATATTATCATATATGTAGGGCATGAGTTGCTGACAATATTTTATAAATAAGTCTCCTCTTAATTATTTTTCCATGTTTCCTGGTTGCGTCTCTGGTAGTAGAAGCTGGGATAAATATTGAAGAAAGCCGTCAAATGAGGTTGGATCTATAATTATAATTCCACCTGGTCATTGCTATGAAAATCTAGTGAGGCAGCCTTCTGATATTCTTAGGGGGTCTAACATTTGTTATATAAAGATTTGTTACTTTTGGTTACTGTAGGATTGTGAAATTGTCGCTCTGTTAGGCGTCCATCCTATCAATGATCAATCTAAATGGAACATTAAGTGCAATGAAGCATATTCTGTTACAAACAGAGGAGATTCTTATTTGTACAGATGGATTTTTTTTTTTGACAAATTTGAGGACCTCTTTCATATTTTCAGAACAATGTATGAACTTCAGTTTCTTATATATTCAATCCTTTGACATGCAGATGAGGAGCTCATAAATGCTGTTGCCAGTGGTTCTTCTGATGTTATACGTTTCCTTACAGTTATGGCAATATGTAATACAGTCATACCTATTCGAAGGTAACCCTCAGATTTTTCTGTTACTGATTGGATTTGAGGTACTGAGATTTTTTGTCTAAAACAAAGGCATACATTAATTACTTTTGATGCACTTATTGTATGCACCTCTTCTATTGTTTGTAGCAAAAGTGGAAGTATCTTGTACAAGGCGCAATCTCAAGATGAGGATGCTCTTGTTCATGCTGCGGCTCAGCTACATATGGTTTTTGTCAATAAAAATTCAAATACTCTTGGTAAAAGATTGTGGCTATTGTAGTAGATTGGTTCTACTTGTGGGAAAGATGATATAATTTTCACTAATAAATTGCAGAGATCAAGTTCAATGCTTCTACAATTCAATATGAAGCCCTGGAAATTCTGGAGTTCACTTCTGATCGGAAAAGAATGTCAGTAGTGGTGAAGGATTGCCAAAATGGAAGGATTATCCTTTTGTCAAAAGGAGCAGATGAAGCAATTCTCCCTCATGCATGCGCTGGTAATAGATTTTCTTTTTCTTTCTTTTTAGTAGTATGTACTTTGAGAATTCTACTTAGTGCTACTCATCACTTTTCGAAAAGTTTGTCTATGGAAAAATGTTAAATGTATTAGTAGGGATGCCATTCCAAACTAGGTTGCCAGATTTGATGATAAGTCATTCACACGTTGATTCTTATAACTGGCCTTGCCTGGCAGACTTAATATGGATCATATATTATCCTACTAGGTTCTGAGATTTGATGATAACCGACAAGTCAGTCACATGTTGATTCTTATAACTGGTGTTGCCCTCTGCAAGACTTTATATGGATTATATGTTTTCATAGTGTAAGGGTTTTTAGGGTGTCCTTTGAATATGTATTGTCATCTATAGTGATTAGAATAGTCTACTATTGTGGTGGGTAACTGGGAAAGGTAATATTTTCAGAGGATTGTTGGCTGGAGGAAGTTACTCTGTAGATGCTGTTTCCCATGTTGCATTCTCTTTCTAGAAAACATCATCTAAGTATTTAAATGGGGATGCTATTTATTTTCCTTATAAAATTGGGATTAGGCTTTAGGAGGAGTCTTAATTATTTGGAGGTGGAAGAGTTTGCTTCACTGGAAGGGGCTCATTTGTTTCCTTCAATAGCAGATGTTAGGAGTTGGAAGTTAGATTGGTGAGGGAGATTCCCTTGCAAATCTTATAATAGCTTCTTATGCATCAGAGCAGTTCTATCTCACTTGCCACCTTATACTCACATTTGAAAGTCAAGGGTTCCACTGAAAGTTAAAGTTTTAGCTTGGCAGGAGGCTTGTGAGAGGGTTAACACCTGTATCAGATACAGAAGAGAAGGCCCTACAATTTTTTTTTCCTCCTTACTGGTACATATAAAGAGGATGAGAAGAGTGTGGATCAAGTGTTTCTCCACTGTCCGTATCCTTAAATTTGTGGTGGAAGTTGTTTAAGGAAAGGAAATTAATGAGTGCTGGGTCATTCTGAAGGGGTGTTTCAAGTCTCTGGGGAAGGGCAGGATTGGATGCTTGCAATCTTTGGGTAATTTGGATGGACTGTAATAGGAGATTTTTCGAGGATTCCAAAGGGTTAGGTCTGGAAGATATAGTATTTTGATCAGCATTGTTGGGATCAGTTTCTGCAGACTTTAGGGGGATTCTTTATTTGTCTATTCTGTTGGATTTGTTAGCTGTGGTTGCGTGATAATTTCTTGTGATTTGTTTAATTGTGGTTCAGTTTGTTCTCTGATGATGTGAAATGTGTTGTCAACTTAGGTTTTTTTTGCTCTAATTATTTCTTAAGTTACCTGTGGTTTTCTCATCCATGTGTATGTACATAGTTTTTTCCTTTACTACAGATCATCTCTTTTCCAAAAAAAAGAAAAGAGAAGGGGACATGTCAATTAGATTGAAAATAACTTTTTTGTTACTGTATACCAATTACACTGTCATTCAATAATCCCAGTTTTATACTTCAGGACAGCAAACAAGGACATTTATTGAAGCTGTTGACCAATATGCTCAATTGGGATTGCGCACGCTATGTCTTGCTTGGCGTGAACTAAAAGAAGAGGAATATCAAGAATGGTCTTTGATGTTTAAAGAGGCTAGCAGCACATTGGTTGATAGGGAGGTAAAGTGCACATCTGAATGTGTGTTTCTAATATGTGATTATTTATGTATGTATTGTTACATACATATTTTCCATTACATTTGTGATTGGGTATGTACATACACTGATACACATCTATGTGCATCTATACATTTCCTTCTCTAATATAACAATTTTTTTTGCAGTGGAGACTAGCTGAGGTCTGTCAAAGATTAGAACATGACTTTGAAGTTCTTGGAGTTACTGCCATAGAGGATCGCCTACAGGTGAATGTTACCTTAGAGCTTTGAAATATAATTCTTCTTACATGTAGTTTGCTCAAATTTTTAGTGATTGCTGATTGTGGAAAGATGATCTGCTTAGTGTTGAATATTTTTTCCTGGTAGTTTTTGGATTCTTGAACTGATCATTTTGTTGGTATTTAAATTTTCAGGATGGTGTACCAGAGACAATTGAGACCCTGAGAAAAGCTGGTATAAATTTTTGGATGCTGACTGGAGACAAACAGAATACTGCCATACAGATTGCTCTTTCATGCAATTTCATTTCCCCAGGTAGTTGAAATTATCTCTCTTGGAGCACTTTATTGTATATTTGAGTTTGCACTTGTTCCAGTTTAATTGTATGTACTTTTTGTGACAAACCATTCAATGAATGAGTAAGGCTGTTTATAGCTGATTTAAAGCTGGAAGGGAGGTGTATAACTATCATGTTGATGACTCATATTTTAATGCCTCTTTTTCTTGAGAAGCTGGGCTAGGCAAATTGGTTAATTCCAATAAAAGCTTTAAGAAGCAATACAATGAATTCCAACCAATTAAATTCAGATAATATAATTTTCCAAATTGAGCAAAGCACCAACATTGGTGCAATTCAACAAACCCCCACCATTTATCTAGAAAAAAAAAAACAAGAATTGGATAACAATAACAACAACATTATTCACAAAGTTGATGGCACAAACAAGACAAATAAAAAACCCTAAGAACTCATGCATATAGTATTTCTTCTCAGTGTCAAGCTCATTTCTAATCATTTCACTACATTTGGTCTTTTTATATAAATTAACCAAAAGATAATTTCCTTATGGTGCAAAATTTTCTGGTCCATGTGACGAAGTAGATGCAAATGAAGTATTTGGTTTTTCCACTTCTACATATTCTTTGCACCATTAATCTTTGCTTCTTCATCCTCACTCTCTGACTGGACAGAGCCAAAAGGTCAGCTTTTGTTAATTGATGGCAAAACTGAAGATGAAGTTCGTAGAAGTTTAGAGAGAGTTTTACTTACTATGAGGATAACGACTTCAGAACCTAAGGTACAGCGTTTACTGATGGCTTATATTATATATAATACATTTAAGTTTCCTTATTTATTTTGCAATATAAGGGAAGTTGCAGATATTCTATGAGAAAATCTAAATCCTGAATTCGTAATTAGTTAGCCATGCTAGAATTTTGGTGATTATTCTGTTCTGCTACAATTCCAGGCATTTTAGGCGATTGAATGTGAATATGAATATATATATATATATATTTCTCTGAATTACTTCTGCAAAGTGTGTGCATTACGTTAGGCATATATGTGTGTATATATTTATATTTCTTTTTGGTACAAATGTGTAGCGGTTACACCATAATTTGTTCTAATGACTTCTGTTAAAAGTTTCAGGGAAGAACTTGCTTAAATTTTTTTTTATCTCCCTATTTTATTTTATTTTGTAGTTTATATTTTCCCTTCTTAACAGGATGTGGCATTTGCCATTGATGGCTGGTCCCTTGAAATCGCACTGAAGCATTATCGGAAAGATTTTACTGAATTAGCAATATTGTCAAGGACTGCTATATGTTGTCGCGTAACGCCATCACAAAAAGCTCAGGTGTTCTTTAGCTTTTGTTTCTTTGGTTTAATTTCATTTTTCTTTCCTAATGTCATTTTTCTTTTGAAGCTTGATCCATATATGCAGAATTTTAAGTGTTGTCAGTAGTTTTGTTTTTACTTAATCTTAGATAGTTATGTATTCTACAGTTCTAAAAGGGAAGTTTCCTATGCAAGAAAAATATGCACTGAATAAGAGCTGGACAATTATCCCGACCCTCAGTAGTTTACGAGTTTACGGCAGTCTCCTTTCAATTTCTCCCGTTAAGCCGTGTTGTGAAAAAGAAAAGGAAACTGAAACAGTTTTTGGCCTTGGACATAGATTTGTCCCAAAGATAATCAAAATGCGTTTTAGAAAAATCTTCTCTCATGGTAGCGTGCTCGGTTCCATTGGAAAACTTTCATTGTTGGGCTAGCCATACACATTACATAGCAATTCACATTCTTTTTAAAAGAGAAACAGAATTTTATTAAGTAAGAAAGCTAATACAAAGAGTGGATAAGGGATCCACAATCTGAAGAGAAAAAAGAAAATACAATAAAAGACCACCTAAAGAGAGGTAAATTAGAAAGAAAGAAAAATATCTCAACTGGTCTCACTTCACAGCTGCTAACAAATCCAACATTATAGAAGAATGCAAATAATCCCTAAAATCAGTAGAAACCAATGCCTATAAAGCTTCCCAAGACCTCACTCTGTCCCAGAGTTTGTAGCAATTCATCTGGCATCATCAACCTAGCACCAAAGAATGGGTCTTTCTTTTTGTTATCACTTCACCTTTCATAGGTTTTCCTAATCAATGAAGTCCTCTTCTAGCAAACTCATAACTCTAGTTTATACTGAACGGAAATGGGCTAGGCAAAGTCATGGGTCCAAATCATGTCATTTCTACCTATTACTCTAACTCTCGGAAGTAATGAGGCACCTTGAAACTAGTCGGTTTTATTGAGATTGGGGCAGATCTACATGAGCTTATCCCATTTTCAATATATTGATCTTGTAAACTTGACTTCTAGTTCATTGCTTAATAATTAGATTTCTCAAATAGAAAAGGCTTGAAAAATAAGAAAATAGACGTTGGTTCCTTTTTCCCTCTTATATTGATGATTTGCTGCCTGTGCATCTTTCTAGATGTGTAACTAATGTTTAAAGTTGCTGGAAATTAACAGTTGACATGCATCACAATGAACAGTATTCGTGATGAATTCTAGGATTTATTTGGCGATAGTACTTTCATTTTCTTGATATAGCATCATCGGTACATGTCCATTTTTTTAAGTGGTTTTAAGGGGCATCTGAATCGTGCTGGTTATAGATTCTTACAATTCTACTTGATAGATATGCTATTGAATACAGAATTCTTTCGAAACTATGAACATCTTTCTGCAATTGTAGAAGCTCTGTATTTAATATACTGCAATATGTGTCATATGAATAATTTATGTTCTTAAATTGTATGATGGAACTGACTGGTATTTGATATTGTCTGTGTGATTCTGTTCAAAAGGAAATATTGGAAGACCATTTGATTTCTGTACTGCTTATATTCTGCAGCTTGTGGAGATTTTAAAATCATGCGACTATAGAACATTGGCTATTGGGGATGGTGGAAATGATGTTAGGATGATACAACAAGCGGACATTGGGGTTGGCATTAGTGGGAGAGAAGGACTACAAGCAGCTAGGGCAGCTGATTATAGTATCGGGAGTAAGTTAACCGATACCTCTGTGTTTGTGTGGGGTGTGTATTTGTTTTCTGCGCTCTAAAGATATATTTTGTTCTGATTATATTCCTAGAATTTGGTTTGGCTATAAAGTTTGGACGCTAAGTGCAATATTTATGTACCTAGAAATAACTTCTCCACAACCCTTCCATTTGTTGTTATCTGTTGTATGTCTGAAGGACTCAACATGTTTCTTGCCCATGAACATCTCATGTTTGTTTGCAGTCAAAATATTAAACAAACATGATTGGATCATGTACATATGTTTGCTTTTTTGTTTTTTGTTTTTGTAAAAGCTTTTGTTTAGTATCATGAAAAAGAAGTAAGAACTGTTTACACTTGTGGTGTAGGGTAAGCTATTGAAATTGAGTTCATGTAAAAGATTTGTATTAAAAGTTGTAGATGAGAGACCTTACAAAGTACTTTTCTTGTAAAAGGCTTTACGATTCTTATTCAAAATATGATTGTCATATGACAAATGTAACTCAACTCTCCTAAGCATGACCTTTCCTTGCTTGGTACCTTTCAAACTTCTTTATGGGAAAATCAAAATCTTTATATGGCATTTTGATTATAATAGAGAAGGTTGAACTTGATGAAGGTGATAGTTATAGCATCCTAAATTATTTAAAATCTTGTAAAATTCTCAATTCAAATAATTTGAATGCTAGGGAGATCTCTCTATCTCTGTCTCTCTCTCTCTCTCTCTTGTTTTTGTTTTTGTGGTTCTTAGGAACTGTTACTCTTTGCTGTCTGTACTCTTTCTGGGTAGGGGAGTTAAGAATACAGTAGTAATTTAGGTGGTATGGGAGGAAAGAAACAGAAGGATCTTCGAGGATAGAGAAGATGTGGACTCTCTGTGGGACAGGAAGACATTCCTGGCATCTCTTTGAGCTTCCTTGTCCAAGCACTTTAAGGATGTTCCTTTTAGTTTGGTCCATTTGGAGTGTCCTTGCTTTGATTTGGTGTGGGTCTTTGGGTTGTATTTTTAGGTGTTTGATTCTAATGGACTCCTTGTCCATTTTGTTATGTACTTATCTTTTCTCTATTCAATAAATGTATTGTTTCTTATTCAAACAATTAAAAAAAATGGGCACATGCCTGGTTAATTCTAGGATGAACACAACCTATGAATGAGATCAGCATTCTTTTCATCATATTGAATGCAGTATCAATTGTGTAACTGTAACTATGTTTCCTGTCCAAAACATAAAGGATAAATAAAAAAATTTAAACTCTGTAATTGCAAGTCCCTGACTATATGACTGCTTCTCCTCATTTGCAGAGTTCAGGTTTCTGAAAAGGTTAATACTTGTGCATGGGCGTTACTCATACAACCGTACCGCATTTCTTGCCCAGTATTCTTTTTATAAGTCTCTGGTTGTCTGCTTCATCCAAATTTTGTGAGTTTCCATGTACAATTGTTATTATTTACAGCTTATTCTCAATTTCAGCTCTTCTCGATAGCATTTGTTGTTGGAGCTTTCCTGGAATCTTCTCTTCGTCTTCAGCATCATCACTATTTTCTGGTACACTGACTTTGGAACAATGTCAGTTTTTCTTTTGTTTCAGGTGTCTCTGGAACCAGTCTTTTCAATTCTGTTAGCTTGATGGCTTATAATGTTTTCTACACCAGTGTTCCTGTTCTAGTCAGTGTCCTTGATAAAGATCTTAATGAAGATACTGTGATGCAGCATCCACAAATTTTATTTTACTGCCAAGCGGGGAGGTTTGCTTTTAAGCTGCACTGTCCTTGTTCTGTTTACAGTTTATATGTGCAAAACCTTTTCACTTGAAATTTGTAGTGGGTCATCTGCTGTGCCTGCTAACTATTACTTCCTATTGGTCAATGTAAGTGAACTTTATGTTCTTGAAACAGGCTTTTGAACCCTAGTACATTTGCTGGATGGTTTGGGCGATCCCTTTTCCATGTGAGTGTTTGTGAACATAGTTTCATTCTTTTTGCAATTATTGTCACTCTCTTGGTTTTAAGTCCAAAGTTTTCCCTTGAAAGTTTTGTAATCGCAACTGAACATAGAGGTTATTCCAGTGACTGTTCGTAATGGATAGATAGATAGATAGTTGAAGCGCACCGTTACTCATAAGAAGCTCATTAAAACTGTTAGAATTTGATGGTTACCTTGGTTAATGTGGAATATATATTTGACTTGTTAAAACTGTTGGACGTAGCAGTCAGATTCCAAAGACAATCTATCTGAGGTCACTGTGGCATGTCAATAAAAGGCTTTGTAACTCCTGTCAAATCAGCTCTAGTTCCTATAAATTAGTTGTTCTTCTCTGGTTTAAATTTTTGCCCCTGTTACTTTTCTCCATTGATTCTAATACCAGTTATGGGTTGTCAGGCAATTGTTGTGTTTGTGATCAGCATACATGCCTATGCCTATGAAAAAAGTGAAATGGAGGAGGTTTCAATGGTAGCACTTTCCGGATGTATTTGGTTGCAGGCATTTGTATTGACATTAGAGACAAAGTAAGTTACATCATGACTGGCACTTGTATGGTGTTAACTTGTTTCCAAGTAATTATCGATCTTTCTCAGTCAAGGTGTGAGTGTCTTGGTAATCGCCAGATAATTGTTCAAGTCATCTCCTGATTAAAAGAATTATAGGAACCTTAAATGTAAACTCAGTTGATTTTTCTTGACTAGACGCTTCAAAAGCTTAACTAAAAACTTCTGAGCAAAAATGATTTTGAGTTTGCTTTGACTGCCTGGGTTTGTTTGATTTCTACAGTTCCTTTACAATGTTGCAACATCTTGCTGTATGGGGAAACTTAGCTGCCTTCTATATCATCAACTGGATCTTCAGCGCCATTCCATCATCAGGGATGTATACAATTATGTTTCGCTTGTGTAGACAGCCATCTTATTGGATGACAATGTTGGTAAGTTTGCCTTTGCCATTTTTGCAGTTATTTGTTCAGTGTGGCTTCTTTCTAAATATCATCATCATTAGCTTCTCAGTTATGTATTTGCATCATTCAGAGTCATGTTATGTTGGGGTGTGTCTAGTCTCATAACTATTTTGTTTTTCTGGGCAATATTTTGTATTAGTTTAGTGGCTTCTTTTGGTTAAATTGGCGGGTGGTGATATGGAACCACCAAAATGGTCTACTGAGAGATGAACCATTCTTCACTCAGTTATCCTTAACTATCCAACGGAAGATTTGATTTCTACTTACAATTTCATGTTCTCATCTGAGTTTTGAGGTACCACAACAGTATTGAATCAAGGAACGGACCAACTGTACGTCCCCCTTGATGCAACCTGTGGTTGGTAACCTGGAAAGCCAGAATATGGTGCGTATAGTTCCTAGGAGCTGACGGAAACTTTACGTGCATTGCAGCTCATAGTTGCAGCAGGGATGGGTCCGATTCTAGCTCTGAAGTACTTCAGGTATACTTACAGACCAAGCAAAATCAATACACTTCAGCAGGCTGAACGGTTGGGAGGGCCTATCCTGTCGATTGGGAGCATTGAACCACAACCAAGAACCATAGAAAATGATGTTTCTCCGTTATCAATAACTCAACCCAAGAACAGAAATCCAATTTTTGAACCTCTACTATCAGATTCACCAAATTCTACTAGAAGGTCTTTTGGTTCAGGAGCACCTTTCGATTTCTTTCAATCCCAGTCCAGATTGTCTACTTCCAACTACTCAAGAAATTGTAAGGACAACTGAGTTGTATAATTCTTTTAGCGGCATTAAATCAAACACAACTCATTATACGTGCGGAAAGTTGAACTGTAGTATCAATTTTTTTGTAAATCAAGCATTGTACGTAGCAAGTATCGATGTGAATACACCTCAATTAAATTAAAGAGATTAACCTCTTCATTTTTCAGGGTAGAATAAAAGATAATTCAATCACTGGAAATCCTGTGTCTGCTTCTCTTGTAGAAATTATTGTATGGTGTTGGAATACGTCTACATGGTATAATCCATTTACACTTTATAACATGCATGGACAACATGGTTTACATTTCCCATTTTTAAGGATACATAATTAATAAATATTGACTTATATCATAACACATGAACTAGTTAAACTACATGGTCATATTCTAGTACCTTAATATTTTGTATTCTTGCATTTAAGAGCAAAATGGAATTGGGCACATTATTGTTTGCCTAATATTCGCTCAAAACATTACCAATGTGATTTAAAAAAACAAAAAATCCTACCAGTTTGACTGCCAAGAAAACAAAAAAAGTTACCAATTTTGAAAGGAAAATGCCGTACTTCATGTTCTATGTTTTTTGGTTGCTAAATTTAGTGAAGTGGATGGGGAAACTCACACATACGGATACCCGTAGGAGCTTGAACTCAGGATCAATCCAACTAAAACCCCTTCATATTTAGAATATTGAAAGCTAACGTTGTGAGGTGGCAATAATGAAACATAATTTATTTTGTAACAAAATACTTGAACAAAAATACCATTTACAGTTGCAAATGCACTGATTGGTCTAGACTAGAGGTATGCACTTCATCTTTTGGAACAAAATTTATCTTTTGACACAAGAAGTTTGGATCCCAAAACATAATAAAATTAAACACCCTCATATATTATGCTACTTGCAATTCAATTCATGTCATGAGCTCACAAGTTTGATCTGTCCATCTTTATTTGCATAAATGTCAGAAAGATTCACCATAAAAGTTCCTCTGTCATCTGTCCATGCAGAAATAGATGGACCATAAATGTCTGGGTCCACCCTCTTCACACAAAAATATACCCATTCACAAGTGTCAACCATACCTTAGCCATAAGCATTACTTATCAGCAGCATGGGCCTTTTGTCCCCAAGCAAGCACAGCTTTTAATTTGAACAAAAATAAAAAAAATAAAAAAAATGCCAAGAAAAAATAAATTAAATAAAAATTGAAAGTTGTGACCCTTGGGGGTGGTCATTTTATCATGGGTTGCTCCCCCACACCCACACCATTTATTTGTGAGGGTGTTCCAAATCATCACCTAACTCAGCAGCAGCATTGCACCTAGCCAACAACAACAATAAACAAACAGGCCCTACTAGAATTTAAAGTTGTGTATATTTTCTTTTCTTTTTTCTTTTTCTTTTCCTTTTCTTTTTCTTTTTGGGTACAGATGAGAGAAAAGTTGTATATTCCAAACACAAGGTCATGGGGCATTTCCCTACCATCCTAGCTGTGTTTCAGATAAGTAGCCCTCCTAGGAAACAAATAGTATGCCATAATAGAGTGGTATATAATTCCCAGTACTTGTAATCTAGTAGCACTGTTATGTATCTTAAGATTCTCATGCTCTATGTGAGATTTCAGTACTGGACTTTCATGCTCATATCATGGCCGTTGATGATCTCCGGGTTGTCGGAAAGAGCAACCATGTTCGCAGACGAAAGGTAATAATGATAACATTACTCTTCGATCACTTTGTTTTGCCTCGACTTCAATTTGACAACTGGGATTTTCTCAATTTGATCATTGTGTTTGATTTTGAGAAAAATAAACTGCCGTAACCAAAATTGAAATCGAGGCAAAACAGGAATGACTAAAGTTGACTTTTAGTCTAAATTGGATTTTGATTTTGAGAATGATAATTCCTTATTAATTTGATTTGGAACATTACAAGATCAGAAACTTTAGACTACATGAAATTTGAAAAAGTAGTAATATTTTAGATATGTTAATTACTTTTAGTCCTTTTTTCGATTTTAGAAAGTCAAAATAATTGACGTGTGACAATATGAACTTAAAATATCTATACCTCATCCCTCCGATGTCATGAATTAGGACATGCCAATTGAGTGATAGGACTCATGGTGACAAATCGTTCATGTGAATGGGCTGCCGACACTTTCTCATTGTGCCGTGTTTGGAGAACACAGGCGAATTCTTGTGTTCGATCGCGTGTGTTGCCAGAATATCGCTTATGTAAGAAAAAACTAAAAAGTCAAAACAGAAGAAAATAAATGAATAAAGCCCAGCTCCTCTCTCTGTCTTCCTCATCCTACCCTCGAGCAAAGCCTTCGGATTGTCGTGAACTTGAGAGAAAAAGAGGCGGTGGTCCGGCAATGATGCCGATGCCATTGACGGCTAGCTGTTGTGTGACTGCGATTTTTTTTTTGGGGGTGTGGGGGGCTGGGAGAGAGAGATTATTTTTCTTTATAATTAGGCCATTTTTAGGCAAAAAATAAAGTGCATATGAAAACTTCAAATCAGGCCAGACCAAAAACGAAAAAGTACTGCATGCTTGCCACGTTGCTAATGATGAATCGCCATGCCACCTATTCACACAAAAAAACCCCCCCCCCCAAAAAAAAAAAAAAAAAAAAAAAAAAATCTTAATCTTAAGCATGATTTTCGAACCCATATATCTCAAGGGCTAATTAGGTTGGACACGCAATATATATGCAGAAAATTAAATTAACTCACTGAAAAACAAAAAATAAAGAAAGAAATGAAATAGAATCTCTTCAAGAATCCCAAATCCATACATCACATTCCTGTTCTCTAACTTCCTCTCCAACTTGCAAAACAAACATCACAAAACCAAACATAGCAATCGACAACAATGCTTAAAATTTTCACACAATAACATCAAAAGCAATAATAATTTACACCCAATCCCGTACATATATGTACGGCTGGTGCAATATATACACTTGCAGATGGATGGATGGATGGATGGATCGATCACCATCTTTTTATTCTGTGGCAGTGGCACATAATATAAATCATCAGAGCGCCATGGCAGTCAGATCTGAGTCTTCCTTTACATCAAGAGCTCATTGACCCATCCAAGATCAGGGTCTGAGGAGCCAGATCCAGACCCTCCTCCTCCATTGATGATCTCATCATTAATATTGTTGGGCTTGTAATAATTGTCATCAAAACCCAACAAGCTGCTTTTTCTGGATGAGCCATTTTCATCCCCATCCGAAAAATTAATCCCACGTCCTCCAAACGGCCTGCTTGGACTCGGAGTAGACGGCGAAAGAATAAACTGTTGTTGCTGATCAAGATCATCAGTAGAATTGAATGAAACATCAACCCACCGCGGCGCATTTGGGTTAATAGGTGAAGCAGCAGCAGCTTCACTGAATTTCACTGCTTCCAAAGAGCTCATCAGCTCAGCTAGCACATCCTTGTAGCTCATCATTCCGCCCGTGCTTGCATGCATCTGATCCAACCCCAACCCCAACCCGCTACAGCGAGACATAACCGGTGAATTATGAAACCCGTTCACCGACGAGCAGTGGTTACCTGCTGGCGACAGAGGCGGCGACAAATGGGACATACCCAACAGAGTGGAAGTTGGAGACGACGTCGTCACGGCAGAGTGACAGAAGAGACAGCAGTACTTGTTCGAGCCCTGCGAGCCCACGGAGTTGCTCAGGTGGCCGTACTTCTTCTTGGGAGTGGGAGAGAGCCCGGCCGCCGTATGATCTGCACAAGATTGAACTGGCAAAACCCGGAGCTGACGTGGCGTGTGTGCGAAGAAGCACACCTTCCTCTTGCACTGCTTCCCGTCTTTGCAAGCCTCGGTTCTGTACCTGGCCGGGTGGAGCCAACACTCGAACACTCCGTGAGCAAACTCGCAGCTGTCGCCGCGGCTGCAAGACCCACGGCGGGAGGCCCCGCCCCCGGTGCCCGAACAGGGGG